AGAATCACACAATCATAGAATGGTTTGGGTTGGAAAGGACTTTTAAGATCATCCAGCTCCAACCCCCTGTCATAGGCAGGGACTCCTCACCCTAGACCATGACACCCAAGGCTCTGTCCAACCTGGCCTTGAACACTGCCACGGATGGAACATTTAGCATGTCTTTGGGCAACCTGCTCCAGTGCCTCAGCACCCTCACAGTGAAGAACTTCTTCCTGATATCTAACCTGAACTTCCCCTAAGTTGAAACCTATCACCCCTTCAGCTCTCACCAGAATTCAAACCTGAAGATGTACTGTTTGAAGGCTTTTAAACCTTCAAGGGAGTTCTATATAACCAGCAAAATATAATGACGAGTTGCAAATCATGCGTTCTAGCCAGCTTCCAAACACAGAGACCTGAAAATCAACCACATGCGCCCCCCAACTTGCCAGTGCTTTGGGAATCAGCATACATCAATCTCCTCAAAGCAAAGAGCCACAAAAAATACGTTAGAAATACAAGGGACATTGTTAGTTGTTGTGTTAGTGAATCATAGAGCAAAATCAGGTCATGCTGCCCATGAGAGGAACGCTACAGACAGGCTTTCACAGTGAGTATGTGTGGTCAATAATTAACCATAGCAAAAAGCTGTATAGTCAACATCTTCTATACAGTCAATTTTATTTGTCTGTTCTCATTTCTCAGGAATCAACTTGCTTCTGGAAATGAAGTTACAAGACTAGAGTAGTTAACCAAGAACAGAAGGAAGGATTTCTTCAGAAAACACAGGTGCTAACTTTACAAGCAATTTAAGACTTAAAGGCTAAAGTCTGACAAAGTAATTGACCATGTTATGTTCTCTGGGTGTGAAGGAATACGTCCGTAGGTTTTAACAAAGTTCCATCTTCCACAAACCTGGGAAAAAAAATAGATATTTCTATTTTTGGAGCCAGGGTTGTCTGTGCATGAACATTAACAAGTACAAAAATTCAGCAGATAGTTTCATAGTATTTTTCTCTTAACTACAACAGAAAGTGCAACACTAAAAAGGCATCTCCTGCCTATTTAAAACGTCTTATACCTTTACAAAGCTAACTCTGAATGTACACATTACATCCTGAAAAAAAATAGATATTTCTATTTTTGGAGCCAGGGTTGTCTGTGCATGAACATTAACAAGTACAAAAATTCAGCAGATAGTTTCATAGTATTTTTCTCTTAACTACAACAGAAAGTGCAACACTAAAAAGGCATCTCCTGCCTATTTAAAACGTCTTATACCTTTACAAAGCTAACTCTGAATGTACACATTACATCCTAGAACACACAAACGAGTTGGAAAGTGTCATGGCAGAAGTATGGAAAGCATGCTTACAGGTTCTGTAAGCAAAAAGACACACAGCAAACACCAGTGAAAAGTGACTATGTCTGGAAACAAACCAATTCAAGATGTCTGAATCTTGACTACTAGCTGAAAACAAAATCCCATGACGTGTTGATTCTGTAACTTTATTTGCATTTAAAGATTGGCTGCTAAGCTTCTTATCTGAAGAACCACCACAAACAATCAGGAGTTGCTAGCTCTGTTAGAATTAGTCTATTAGATCCAATGGAGGCTTATTTAAATTGCTGATTGAGCCAGATTGACTTTTGTAGGAAGAGGTCCTGCTTCTTCATGTTCCTCAGTCTTGCATCTAACCACAACAAGTGCAGAGGATGGGTATCTGTTCAGTTTTTGTTCATTCATGTATTCCAGATCTCCATAGATGCTCAGCTTCTGAAAGAGTGAAACAATTTACTTTAAGACAAAGACCCTTCATACTGTGAATAAAATACATTTCATTATGCAACTTCATTCCTGGCTGCAGCCCTTCACCACAAGTGAACCCAGGCTTTCTTTACCATCTGAAATTCATGGCTAGCAGAAGATTTGCATCCAAAAGAAAGCATTAAATCTGCAAGAACAGTAGAGACAGTGCTTCTGTAACACCAGTAACATGCTGTCACTTCTGTTCTCACTACTGATCCTCCCGCATTAAACCCATACTGGGTTCCACCTACACCATCTGACCCTCAGCATAGCTCCATTCCCAGAGAAATCAGAAGCAGCCTCCATTTGTTAAGAGTAATTTGAAGGTTGTTGAGAGGAGAATGCTACAAACTAAAAGACATCTGCGCTGCCTGAGTAAGGCTCAAAGCTCCCATCAGCCTTAGGAAGGAGCAAGAATTGCTCAGCTATGAAATCATCATTGCAGTAACAAAATTGGTTTGATAACCACACATGCAAAAACTCAGCCTCCTTCTAGTTGAACCTCCTCAACTATTTCTTAGTCTCTAGCCAATAATATAAAAGTAATATGATTAATAAAATAAAAACTATTATAAAATAGCAGTTACCTCAGATGGAACATATTGCTCTACAGCTGTAGCTACAGTTGCACAACAAATCCAGAGCAGCACCAACACTGACAGGACGAGAGTAGTGGTTAAAATCCAACTGGAATTTCTGAAATGAAAAGAATGTTACTAGATTTCATATGCTGAATGCAAGACAATGGAGCCTCTAAAATGGCTCAATTTTGACTG